AATTTTTCCATATTGCAAACGCCTAAAGGCTCGTGAAATTTTAAGAGAATTTTCAAATCACTCGCAACGTATGTTCTTAATTGCAGTCTCGTACGACTACCTTCGTGTATGCGTTTGAATTTACCGTTGACGTACTCATTTAAATGCTAAACAGCGAAATTGCCGGATGGGTTTGAAAGTTATTTTTTGAGGAAAAAACACTATCTATGTAATTATTCATTGGTGTTTTTGTTTTTGTTTTTTTTTTGTATTGTTTTTTTTTTCCTTAGTTGTTTTGTTTTTTTGGCAACAACTTTATTTGGACAAAACAGACTGGTGTTTTATACCTTTGTTCAGACCACAGAGAAACGCTGTGCACTATTTAAACACAAGGAGCCGTGTTAAAATTACCTCAAAATCGTAAACATCGAACGAAAAGGTAATTATTGTTATAAACAAGAAAAAGGACCAAGCCTCGCTAAAATAAAAAATGCAAATAATTTACATCATTAAAAACAACAATAAAAAAATCAAAAAGAGAGCGATCTTTATTTACGTGAAAACGTTGTTTGCTCCAAAGAAATAGGTCCGCATGAAGTACAAGTGTGGAATACGAATAATGTATTCCAGTTATGAACCGATCAGTGATGGATACAGTTATCTCCAAAACAAGTTTTCTGATCTTAAACGTTGCGTCGTTGTTTTGAAACGCTCAATAATTAAATTTAAACAAAACATAAAACGACAGGCGTCGAGCGAATCGTTCCGTATTATTTATTGCTGGAATGAATTTCGCCAAGAATAGAAAACTCCGTGAACATAGACCTACGGCATGCTACTTTCCCTTTTTTCATTGCTCTGTAGTTTGGATCCAAATTCAACAATTAAGTGGTATAGTGTGATATGGACTTTGAGAAAAACTGAAAAGTTAGCTGAACAAATCGCGGAAATCCTAGCGACAAGCTACATGTGTTGTTGCGGTGTTGTGTTCTTTTTTAATAAAGAACCATATACATCACTCCACACGGAGGGAAAGAGAGACCATTTATAGTTCAGCGCATGAAAAAGAATCTTAATTTAACCGATCTTCCACAAGTAAATCACGTTACAAAACCTTAATCATCTCCTTCCGTAAAGACCTCATAAACGTCATACGCTTCAATATCATCGTCCTGTTCTAACATTTGCAAGTACGTTTGAACGCTTTCATGGCCGCCCCACTCCTCCCCAGTGAGTTGTAATTGTGATACCGGTGACTCCCTCCCTTCCTCTGACTGTTCTTGCTTCAGTCTTTCTGCTAGGTCATTGGTTCGTTGATAAAGTATCGCTCGGAGCTGATCATTTGTTCCTGGTAAACACCAACCATCTCGCTCGTGACACTCTTCTTCCTACGAAACCAATAGTAAAATTAAATTACGCTGTACTTAACTGGTGTATCATGAATAAAATAAATTACAATATTTAGAAAGGAAGCCACCTCAGCCTTGGCTGGTTTCATGCAGGTCCTCTATCCTGGTCGAATTGGACTATGGAGATGTTGGTTTTTTTGAAGGAAGGAAAACTGGAGTACCCGGAGAAAAACCCTCGGAGCAAGCGAGAACCAGCAACAAACTCAACCCACATATGGCACCGGGCCGGAATCGAACCCGGGGCACATTCGTGGGAGGCGGGCGCTCTCACCACTACGCCATTCCTTTCCATCCCGCCATCCCTGCTGCCATCCCNTCCTGGTAAACACCAACCATCTCGCTCGTGACACTCTTCTTCCTACGAAACCAATAGTAAAATTAAATTATGCTGTACTTAACTGGTGTATCATGAACAAAATAAATTACAATATTTAGAAAGGAAGCCACCTGAGCCTTAGCTGGTTTCATGCAGGTCCTCTATCCTGGTCGAATTGGACTATGAAGGAAAACTGGAGTACCCGGAGAAAAACCCTCGGAGCAAGCGAGAACCAACAACAAACACAACCCACATATGGCACCGGGCCGGAATCGAACCCGGGGCACATTCGTGGGAGGCGGGCGCTCTCACCACTACGCCATTCCTTTCCATCCCGCCATCCCTGCTGCCATCCCTGCTCCTCGTAACTTGTTAGATTGACAAGTTAAGATTTTGCAATAAGCCCCCGAACCAATCAGGTGCCGTGTATGAGCATACACGCGAGTCCATACACACATCAATCTCGTTCTTGTGACCATTTGTATTTCGAATGTACTTCCGACGACGCAGGCACCACGTGAACTATCGTTTCCTTGCGATCTTTTGTGTGCAGTTGTAAATAGTGTCCCCGATTTTTGACACTTAAATGAAGTCTTTCATTAGGGCCCTGCTTCGTTTCTTTTTTTGCTCTCGCTCCAATTTGCGCGCGACCAGAATGGGAAAAACGCAGGGGGTGGGGGNGGGGGGCAACCATTGTTTTGTAAAAATTAGCAAGCTTGAGGTCCCATATTCTCATGTGCTTGTAGCGGATTCTTACGAAGCTATGCATTTTTACTAACCTGGGCATGACAAATTTGTCTATGGCAGCGGCTTTTCTTATATGAAAAATAAATGTTGATATTGCATGACAACGGTAAAAAGGTCTCTATCCCTGGTACTAACATCGGTGCCGACCAAACAAGGTCAAAAAAGGATTGCGGCCTCTGGAAAAGAGCTAGAGATTGTATGTAAAACGTTCTCAATTCATGTTCATGTTCATGTGTCAGGTGCCTTCTTCCAGAGTAATAGCAAGTTAGTAGAACAGACAATTTGTGAATGATCACAGAATAAAAGCAATAAAATTCTAACATACCTGACCATCATTTCTACTGACAAGTCTCTGAATTTCCGGATCATGAAGATCGCAAACTTGGTAAAACAACTGTTTTTGCTTTGGCATTTTATTTGGAGTAAAGACATAAGGCAAGTCTTGTTCTTCACTCTGTTTATCATCTGGTTTATTCTCACTGCTGACCATTACAGCTTCTTTAACCAGCGACCCTTGAGAAGCAGTTTTCCCGACCAGGTTTGGTAGAATAAACGAGCTTGTATCTCGCTTTGCTTTTATTGGAAGATTTTTTGCGCCTCTCCTACTGCCAACACGAAAGTCTACCATCTGATAACTGTTGATGACAAATAGACAACAGATCGTTTTAAAATGGGCCTCACCACTCAATTCATCATGCTGATCGAAATAAGTAAATATGCCGAGTTTCAGTATGATCCGTTGCAAGCTGATAAAAATATGGGACCCCAAACTCGCCAATGTTTATAAAGAAATGTATGGCAGGGTGCAACACTTGCTAACTGGCATACATTTCTTAATTTGTAAAAAAAATGGCCAGTCTGGGGTTCCATAGTTATTTTCAAGACTTTGCTTCGGATTATCATGGAACTACCTTTCATATTTTATTAAACTATAATATAATAATAATAATAATAATAATAATAATAATAATAATAATAATAATAATA